ATATATAAAAATTATACTGATTTTTAATATATATAATTTATATATATGATACCTATAATTTTTATACATATGAAAAATCCTGAGCTGGATAAATACATATATATGGATTCTTTATTTTATGGTTTTAATTTGTAAGGCTACCTGAATCTGTGGATTGGTGTCTTTCATCACTTATGGAAAAATCTTGGATGTTAATTTCTTCAAATATTCTGTCCTATTCTCCTGCTCCTAGAACTTGTATAAAGTCTTTATGAGATTGATGACTTCCTTGCAGATAGTGTATTTTCAAGCTGAGATCAAAGACAACTCAGCTTACTTTTTCTGTAGGTATATATTTGTTTATAGCCTGTTGGACAATGTTTGTCTTTGTGTAGGTTGGTTTCTGTTGTATTCTTTTCTGTTTCTCCTGTTGGCTGTGAACATTACTTGTCTGAATTTTTTGAGGTCTAGAAGGAAGCTTTCATTTATATTTGGATATGCAGATAATCTGACTATACCAGGGACAGATCACTTTAAGTACATAGCTTGGAGTTTGGAGGGCAATACAGATGAGGAAAATTTGGGCTTTTTGTCCAAGAGAATGAATTTATTCTTGAGGAATATAGCACCTTGGAGTTCCTGCTTAATTTGGGAGGGTTACTGTAAAGATACCCACCTTGGACAGGCCCAGGATTTTAACTTTGGTTAAAACCAAAGTTCACATTGCTTGTAATTGGCAATTGACCTCAGTGCAAAAGTGCCTTCTGCTTCCTGTTTTACCCTCAGTTTTGGACTGGTAATTCCTTACTATCTTGTTAGCATTTCAGTGCTTTTAAGATTTTATTTTATTTTATTTATTTATTTATGTGAGATAGGGTCTTACTGTCACCCAGGCTGGAGTGCAGTGGCATGATCTCGATTCACTGCAACCTCTGCTTCCCAGGTTCAAGCAATTCTGCCTCAGCCTCCCAAGTAGCTGGGACTACAGGTGTACGCCACCATGCACAGCTAATTTTTTTGTATTTTAATGGAGACTGGGTTTTACCATGTTGCCCAAGCTGGTCTCGAACGCCTAAGCTCACGCAATTCGCCCGCCTTGGCCTCGACAGTGCTAGGATTACAGGTGTGAGCACTGTGCTTGCCCATATTTTTCATTGGTAGGATTGACCTGTGTAATCTAGTTTGTTGCTCTCAGGAATGAAAGTTTTTCACAGAGAACTTGGAATGCAATTTATTGTCTAACAAATAAGATTCTCACTGATTTCATTTAATGTCAACTGCAATAAAAAATTAATATGGATATTAACTTAAACTTATGTTCTCAATGTGATCTAACTCTCTGAGAACCACCTCTCAGAAACTGAGTTTCTGGTTTAGAATGCAGATTTTGGGGTCCCACTTCCTCAGGTGTTTTTCTGCTTCATATAGATGATGAAATAGAGCCAGAAGTTGTTTACCTGAATTTGTAGATTGCTACAAAGTTGATGTCAGCCCAAATGATCACAACTGACTAGAAAATTAGATCTGCCTTACAACCAAGAGATATAATTTATCCAGAATAGGCAGGTTTGAGCAGCCTTCTCTGGAGGAGTAAATGCCTCCTGTTAATGTTCTCTAAATTATCTGTCTTGGATCCTCTACTAAAGATGAAGTTTCATTTTAAGAGTTTAAACTATAAATATAACGCTGCAAATGGACATTGAGGTTAGCAATGTAGCCATTCTTCTGCAAACACATTAAAATGTTATAAAAGGGCCAGGTGTGGTCGCTCACACCTGTAATCCTAGCACTTGGGGAGGCCGAGGCGGGCGAATCACTTGAGATCAGGAGTTTGGGACCATCCCGACTAACATAGTGAAACCCCGTCTCTACTAAAAATACAAAAAATTAGTTGGGCGTGATGGCATGCGCCTATAGTCCCAGCTGCTGGGGAAGCTGAGGCAGGAGAGTCACTTGAACCCGGGAGGTGGAGGTTGCAGTGAGCCGAGGTCACACCACTGTACTGCAGCCTAGGCAACAGAGCAAGACTGTCTCAAAAAAGTAAAAAGTTATAAAATTTAAATTTGGAAGTTTTGGGGTTTTTTTGCTTCTATTTTTGACAATTGCTGTGTTTACTAGACACTATATATTAAACCCAGCAAATTTCAGAATAAATTTGTATTGGAAATTATTGTATAAGTGTGTGTTTTGGAAAACCAAATGCAGTCATGCACATAATGACATTTCTAGTCAAAGATGGACCATGTGCGTATGTGACAATGATTCCATAAGATTATAATTCCTTTTTTTTTTAAAATTAAACAGGGGAAAGCATGATACCTTGTTTTTATTGTACCTTTTCTGTGTTCATATGCATAACTACTTAGCCATCATATTGAAGTTGCCTACAGTATTCAGTACAGTCACATGCTATATAGGTTTGTAGCCTGGGAGCAATAATCCATATCATAGTCTAGGTGCCTAGTAGGCTATACCATCTAGGTTTGTGTAAGTACACTCTGATGTTTGAACAATAACAAAATCATCTAAAGACACGTTTCTCAGAACATACTCCTATGTTTAATCCACACATGACTGTAATGGTGAATGGAATATATGTTCTCATTACCCCCAGTCCCTTCTATCTCATTAGGTTACTCCTGTTAGGTTTTTGGTGTGTGTTTTCAGAAGGATTTTATTTACGTTAAAGTATGTACATATATGAGTGATCCAAATGGGATTTTGGCCTACATCCTATGCCTTGCTTTGGTGTTCTTTCATAGCAACTCAGGTCTGTTTTATTTGTGACTGCAAAGCATTCCATTTTATGCATATTCCATGATAGTACTAAGTTTATAATAAGCTTTGTGTATTACCCCAAAGAATACAATGCTATAATTGGCAAGATCAGATTTAATTCCTGTAATCATGAATCTTATCAGTTGGAACAGACTAATTTATAATTTATATAAATTATATAAATTTATATAAATCACACTAATCTATAATTATAGACTGACATCTTATTTTGGAGAGAAAGAAACCTTTATAGGAGTGTGTGTACCAATAAATCTTACTTAACCAGAATATATAGGTTGGAGAAAGCATTTCTGAGGAATGAAACTTTGAACTGAGAGCCAAAGGATGTGCGGGACTTGTTCAGATCTGTGGAGGAAACTTCTAGGTGAACATAGAAAGCAAAGGCATAAGATTCTTTATAATTTTTTTATGGTAGATCTCATAAGTGAATAAGTCTGGAAGTGGACATATTTTATTTTTTTGATTGTTTTTTTTTTTAATTTTTTTAAGAGACAGAGTCTCACTGTGTTGCCAAGGCTTGCCTTGAACGTCTGGTCTCAAGTGATCCTTCTGCCTCGGCCTCTCAAAGTGCTGGGTTTGCAGGCGTGAGCCATGGTGCCTGGCTGAGATGGACATGTTTGAGGCTTTTGATATTCCTGTTGTCAGATTGCTCTCCAGAAAGATACAGCAGCAGTAGCTAGAAATAAGGATGCATATGCACACGTTTCCCTGTATTAAAAGGAAATTATTGATGATGCAATAGACAAACTGGTATCCTACTTGCATTTCTTTGATGTCAAAGATTCAATATTTTTCTTTTTGATTAGTATTTATAATTGTTAAACATTTTGTAAATGCTGACTCATTACCCAGCATCACTAGAAAAATTCATCAGTACTATTAGGAATTATTTATAACAAATAGAAAATATTTATAGAGTTAGACACATTAGGAAGAAATATTTTCTTTATAATTACTCTAAAGGATAGACTAGATCAGTAATAATGTTTTCCCAAAATATTAGCACTTAACTGCTAAAATCAGGATCTTTTCCATTTTTAAAAACTCTTCATTCATAGGTATATTAGATATGTTGCTATGAAAGCAAACACATCTTATAGGATTTTGTGGGTTAAATATGTACTATGATTTTAATTTTTACCAGGTAACTTGATTCTATTTATTTATTTATGTATTTATTTATTTATTTTTTTAGAGATAGGGTCTTATATTTCCAGGCAGGCCTTGAACTCCTGTGCTCAAGTGATCTTCCTGCCTCTTGCGCAGCTGGGACCACAGGCTCCTACCACTGTGCCTGGCTAAGATAAACCTGATTTTAATGTGGATTCTATCTAAACTTGCTTTAGTTTTTATGTAATCTGTAGATTACCTGTGGCATTCTGCCTTTTTTTCTGCCTGAATATAACTCATCTGCTTAATAAGATTTGTTTTTCTAAAAGCAGTATTCTCCAGCTTCATACTAATCTCTTAGTGAGAAGGAACTTAGGATATGCTCTGTTCAGTCCTAACAGTAAACTTATTCAGGTCTGGTAACCACAAGTCTTGACAACGTCCGCAGCATATCTAGGGGAAGTTGGAGGTTGCTGGTTATCAGTTATCTAACATGAGGTACATATACATTTGAAGAGATAAGGAAGGCTTACCTGACATTAAAATTGGGACCCAGAGCTTTTGAAATAGTCTAAAGGGTTGATATTTCACCCAGGGATGAAGTCTTTTTAAAAAGATAATCAAGGGGCATAGTGATTACAGTAGGCATCAGATTATAAAAATGAATATTGCTAAATATAAAATGGATTTTGTTTTAAGATGCTACGTAGCCAAAAAATTTAAGCAGAAATTGACCTTTTTGATTGTTAAAAAGATATGAATGAAGACCCTTTTGTACTGTTTTCCTTTCCTATGATTCTAGCAAATGTTGGATTTTTTTTTTAACCAATGGTGGTATTACAATCTTTACACAACAGATTCTAAAAGCTTAATGGTAACTTTTTTTATTTTAGATAATATCCTATGAAAAATTATTTTTGGTACTGGTAAGGAAGAATTTGCATGTTCCATGAGTTTTCTTCTTAACACTGATCGTATTTTAAAGGAAACAGACATTTCTTGGTGTAGTTTTCAGCATAGTATTGATTTAAAGGGTTTTGGCTTCATATGTTTTTATTGGTTTTAAGTAAATCATATACTTTTTTTTTTAACATTGATGTTTCTCTCCGTAGATATTTGGAGTTCTTACAACATGGCAGACATTGACAAGTAAGTGGCAGAGAGTTGGTTCTTTTTCAGAGATTTTTGGCATCACTTTGTATTGTGATGTTTTAACAACAAGTAGCATGAATTATATATTATGAAAATGTAGTTACTAATGCTTAGTACCTACTTTTGCAAAGAGTTGAGTGCAGTGTATTCAAGATAAAATATAGAATATTCTATATTGTCATAAATATATGAAACAATTTGCCACTATTTATTTTTAAGAAAGTGCTAAGCATGATAATGGATTATAAATACTTGCAAAATTCATTTTTATTGTATATATTTCCCAAAGATTTTACTGCTTGCATTGTAATGTACCAAATGCCCAAAGTGTGAATAAAATGTATTTATATGTAGAGCTTAAGGAATACTAAGACAAGTTAAAAATGGAACATTACTATTAGAAGCCTTGTGTGCCCCTTCTCAGTAGCACCTTTCCCTTGCAGACATATAAGCGCTATCCTGACTTTTGCTAATTCTTTTCTTTGCTTTCCTTTAGACTTTACCACCTATAAATTCTCAATCAGTGTTTAATTTTGAAAATCTGAATAGTGATCACAAAATTAGCTGAGTAAAGCAACATTACCACTGTTAGTTGAAGGCTGCAAGACACAATAACAAGGAAAAAAGACTATCTGGGTCGTAGTCTGGCCTCAGCTTTCTTGAGGCTTTAGAAAGACTTATTCTGGAGAAGTATTGGGCAAGGTCATGCATCCTGGGAGGCATAGGTTTAAGCAAGTTGGCACGTGGCAGGATTCTACTGTGAATGGGTGTTTTATAGAACTAGGGTCAGGAAGAATGGGATGAGGTGCACAGTATTTGTGTAATTTTACAGTAGCCTGTGTTAAAATAGAGCACTTGCAAGTGAGGGGATGCTAAATGATTATGCATAGCTGTTGTAGGCGTCCTGTTGTAGGCATCAGCGAATGATACCGGGAGGGCTGGAAACTTTAGTACAAGGTCAGCACAAAGAAGTACGTATAAGAATTTAGGCCACTCTTATGCATTCTATCTTCAGCATTAAAAAAAACCAGAAGAGTGGAAGCAGGCATTTTTAGTGATAATGGTAAAGTGATTGTCTCCTATGTCACACTTCTGATTTGGATTGCTTAACCTTGGTGACATGGCTGTCATTGGATCTATTTTACTACCTTCCGAGGTTTCATCTTGTTTCTCCTCTTGGGTTTGTTGTTTGCTATATCTCACATTGCCTTCTCATTTTGTTAGTACCTTCTTGGAAGAGTACAAGGGAGTTAAATTATTTTAAGACATATCATGACTCAAAATGACTTATCTACCTTTTATGCTGGATAGTTATGCTTCTATGCTGAATAGTTTATTTGGGTGTAGGATAGTAAGATGGGAATCATTTTTCTTCAGAATTTTGAAGGCACTGCTCCATTGTCACCTTGTTTCCAGTGTTACTGTGTTGAAGTTTGGAGTTATCACAATTCTTAACCATAACCATTTGTGTGTGATAGTTGAGAAATACATACATTTACAGTACATACATTTCTGGAAGCTAATCTGGCTTCAGAGTTCTGAAATTTTCACGTTATTTTTTTGTCTTAATGTTACACATTCGGCAGTTGACCCTTTCAGTGCAGCTATTCAGTGGCTTTTAGTTCCAGGGATATTCTTGATTTAACTTTGCGATTGCCTCATTTCTGTTTTCTCTTTCTGGAGCTACTATTAGATGTTGTGTGTTGGATTGGTCTTCTAATGATCTTTTGTCCTATTTTTCATCTTCGTCTCTTTGCTCTTCTCTCTGGGAAGAACTGAAGACTATCTTTCAACTCGTGTATTGGGTTTTAAAATTTCTGTTGTTTTAGTTTCCAAGACTTCTTTTGTTCTTCCTGTTTTTTGTTTTTAGTTTTATAGCATCCTGTTCTTGTTTCATCAATGGTAATGTCTTTTCTCTGGATGTTTCTTCTACCTGTATAGTCTGTTTGCTCTTATATTTTCTTTCCCTTGTTTGTTTTAGTCTTAATCTAAGAGGCTTTCCTCAAAATACACGGCAGTACTTGCTTGGTTGCTCATTAAGATTGGGTTGGGTGGGATATAAGGATAATTCAGAGATGTTTAAAGAAAGGAAAATTGATTAGAAAATTTGAGTATTGGAGGGGGAGGAGGCTTGTTAATTTGGGATTTCAGTGTCGGGTCACCAGAGTAGGCATTTGTTAGAACCCCCAGTTGTAGAATGTTTGTTTATTTTTCTGGGTTAGTCAGATTCATTGTTGAACAGTGTCTGGGTAAAGAAAGACCTGGCTTCCAGTGTTCCTCTAATTGTAGAGGAGTCCCTGCATTTAGCATTCTAATGTATACATAGTCAGTCCTATATCTTTGATACTATTAACTGTGTCTGTTGTCTTCCAGTTCAAGTTCTGAATTTTATCCTTTCCCAAGAAGGAACTATTTCTGCTGTGGTAGGGGAGAAGATCTAATGATTTAGCTGCTTATCAATTTTTACTTTCTTGTTTTAGCCACTTTTTCTCCTGTCCCACTGTTTACCCTAGTTCTAGAAATGAACCTGGTACCACCAGCTCTTATCCGTTTAAAGACTGTAATTGGGCTGGTTCTCAGCTTTCCCCACTGCCAACTTAGATTTCAGTTCTCTCAATGAAATTATCACTTGTCTGGTTTCCAGCTTCCAGAATGTTGCTGCTCTTGTTTCAGTTTCAGCCTTAGTCTGCTAAAAAAACAAACAAGCCCTTTATTATAATTTTAGTGGAGATTTTAGAAGGATTAAGATCAGCTGAGTTTGTACCAATGGCCATCTTAACCTTGAAACTCTCATTTTAAACTTTAAAAACAATAAATTAGTATGATAGCTTGATTTCCTTCTTCCCTTATTGTTTAATTTTGGATGTCTGTTAGCCCTGGGAGTATAGAAGTCAGAGGGGATTCTTGTTCTTGAAAACCAGTCATTAAACCTTTCTCTGTAAAAGGCTTGGTAGTAAACATTTTAGGCATTCTAGGCCACATAGGATTCTCTAACTGCAGTTGGCCCTCTGTATCTGTGAGTTCAGCATCCATGAGTTTGCATCTGAATTCTACCAACTGCAGATAGAAAATATTAGGGAAAAAATAAAATAAAATATAACAGCACAATAATAAATACAAATAAACAATAGAATATAACAACGATTACTGTTTTTTGTTTGTCTGTTTTGTTTTTAATAGAGAATTCTGTGTTACTCAGGCTGGTCTTGAAATCCTGGCCTCAAGTGATCCTCTTGCCCTGGCTCCCAGAATGTTGGGATTGCAGGCATGAGCCAGTTTGTCTGGTCCAGCCTAATGTAACTATTTATATTTACATCGTATATAGTATTATTGTAAGTAATCTAGAGGTGATTTAAAGTATACAGGAGGATAGGCATAGGTTAGTTGCAATTACTATGTCATTTTATATAAAGGACTTGAACATCCCAGGATTTTGGTAGGTGGTTTCCTGTGGGTCCACCATAAACTTGGAGGGATGACTGTACTCAACTCTGCTGATGTAATGTGAAAGCAGACAATACATAAATGTAGTGTGTCTGTGTTCCAGTAAAATTTTATTTACGATAATAGGGTGGGCTGGATTTGGCCACGTGGACATAGTTTGTGGACAACTGTTTTAAAGCGTTTGGATATAGATGTTCAATAAAGGATGAAAGACACTGGAGGAGGAGTTGCTCCAATTATGTGTAACCAGTGGCCCTTGTGTGTGTACACTTTAAGTTTATACTAAATCAGTTCTTCCAGAAATAGGCTAGGCGCAGTGGCCCACAACTGTAATAATCCTAGAACTTTGGAAGGCCGAGGTGGGAGGATCACCTGAGGACAGGAATTCGAGACCAACCTGGCCAACATGGTGAAACCCTACCTCTACTAAAAATACAAAAATTAGCCAGGTGCAGTGGCATACTTCTGTAGTCTCAGCTATTCAGGAGGCTGTGGCACAAGAATTGCTTGAGCTTGGGAGGCCCAGGTTGCAGTGGGCCGAGATTGTGCCACTGCACTCCAGCCTGGGTGACTTTCAGAAATAATATGTATCATTTCTGAAGACTGAATTTTTTTCCTTTGTTGACAGGAACTTAAATTGTGCCAGCAGAGTACAATTGAGCTATTCTGTATTTGTATGAAAATTAAGTCATTATTTGTCTTTGTGGAAAATTAATTTTTCAAATGCTATTTAGGCACAAAAGCAACTAAATTTCTAATCCAAGTGTTAAAATATTCATACAGGAATTGTTCGATGACCTTTTATATTGATTTAGGAGTCCTTAATTTCCTTTCTAATGCTAGATGCAATCCCATGTTCACAAATTAGATTTTTGGTGATTTTTTAAGATGAAATGGGAAGGATGTTATCTTACTACTTTTTACCTTCTCTTTCATCTCTTTCATGGTGCTATCATCTTGGCTTTGTTCTAAACAAGAATTAGACTCCAAAGTCCTTATTCTTTCTCACATCCACTATGAAGTAAAGAAAAGGAAAGTCCAAAGACAGTATAGGCTGATAACAGTTGCTGCACAGCCATAAGGGGTCCAGGATTCTTCTGTTTTCCTAATTCCTTTTTCTTTAGCTGGTGGCTTTCATTTTCTAGGATGCCTCACAGTCCAGTGTGGCTGCTGGAGCTCTATCCATCATACTCGTATTCTAAGTGGGAGGGGGAGAGGGATTAAGATAAAGGCTCCCCAGCTATCTACCATCTTGTTAAGGATACTCCCTCAAAGAAATACAGTACTTCGGCTTTTTTATCTTGCTGCCAAAATAGTCTAGCTGAAGGTAGGCTAGGAAATGTAGACTTTTAGCTTGGTTTGTTGCCATCTCATATAAAATAAGGAGGTTATTACTAAGAAGGAAAAGTAAAATCAATGGATATTTGGTTGAGTGCACATGCTTGTTGACATCACATCCCTCAAAAACCTACAAAACCAGTTTTTTATATCTTGAAAAGTATAAACTTTAAATGTGACCAGATGTCTTTAATGAAAGTTTAAGAACTTCCAGTTTGTATTTGTTTACATATGAAGTTAGAAAACTGAATTACCTTTTGAATTTCCTATTTTATGTCTTTGAAAGAGATGCTAATTTTGAAAATGAATTTTTTCTATAATTTTTTGTTGGTAATTGGTACATTTGAACCTTGGTGTGATACTGTGATGTTATAGCAAAGAACAGTCTGAACTTGATCAAGATTTGGATGATGTTGAAGAAGTAGAAGAAGAAGAAACTGGTGAAGAGACAAAAATCAAAGGTATTACTTTAAATTACTTCAGGAGTCAGTGATTGCTGGCACATGTCTACTGGAGGGTAGTTATAAGTGCCAGTCTGTTTTTTTGGACTCTTGCTCATTGTTCATTTTATCTACTGGTCCATACCTCTGGTAACTCTGTGTGTGTGTGTGTGTGTGTGTGTGTGTGTGTGTGTGTGTGTGTGTGTAAGTGAGAGAGAGAGTGTGTGTGTGAGAGAGAGATAGAGAGAGAAAGGAAGGGTAGGTGTAGATACAGCAAGTCAGAAGTCATTGTTTTTGCATCCTCCACTGTTGGAGTGACTTGGTGTAGCTGTGTAAAACAGCTGCCCATGAGTTCTGTCTGAATTTAGAAATGTTTCAGGTTTGATGTGGTGCTTATGACAGTATGTTTAGTGTTTAATATATAGAGAACATGTAGTGTGTGTCTTTTTAAAAATCCACTCCTTCAAGCAAAAAAGCCATTTATTAAGTGTAGGTAATCAATTTATTTTAGCAGATAATTTTTGAAAGGAGTGGTGGTGGGGGATTGTACTGCTTAGGTTATGTCCTATAGATCTGGGCCAAGAATATTAAGGTACCAGATGACTCAGCTTTTCATTTTTAAACCAGATGGAAGTTAATTGTGAAAAGACTTCAGAACTTGTATTAATAGCTTCAGTTTTCATTTTGTAACATTTTCTTAACAGATACAGAACTGTATCCTCAGTGACCAATATAGATATTTTTAAATCTGTATTGGTTATCCTGGCTATACATCATCTAATAATTGAAATATTATTAATGGCACTTTGTGTAATAACTGTATTGATGAAGAGAAGATTAGTAATGTAATTTGTTTTGTATAAATTGGCGTAAATTTGGATTGAGTGTTTTTAAAAAGCTATTGATAACCACATTTTGTTTTGGCTTCAGTTACAACCTTTGACTGTCTCAACTACTAACTTTATTCATACATATAGAAATACATTACACAGGCATTAAACATAAACATCAATCACGAACTTCGCCTTTCTCCTGGGCCTAAAACTGTCAGTATATTTGCGCTTTTCTGATATGTGTTGTCTGCATTCAAAGGACTGTCAAGAGCCATGATAGGCATCTGAATGAAGCCTTGAGCTTCCTAAAAATGCAAGGTGGGTGAAACAGAAGATACTAGGAAGAGAAAGGATATTGTTCTTAGTACTTGTGGCAGTGGCCTTGAGAAATGCCTTGACTAGAGATAAATCATTAGGAATCTGAATTATTCCTGAACATTGGGTTTTCTTAGAATACATTCTCTTTAACTTGCCCTGCCCATCTCTACTTATTATATATACCAGCAATTTATGGGCCAGTTAGGAAAACTTCATGAGATTGGATTGTCCTATTTAAAAAGCATAATACATTTTCATAAAATCCTTCTTTCGATGCCCTTTTGTTTTGTTTTGTTTTGTTTTAAAGCACGTCAGCTAACTGTTCAGATGATGCAAAATCCTCAGATTCTTGCAGCCCTTCAAGAAAGACTTGATGGTCTGGTAGAAACACCAACAGGATACATTGAAAGGTACAAGTTCTCCTTTTCCATGGTCCTTATTTATCTTTCTATAATCAATCAACATTGCAGGCATATCTATTTTTAAGACCACCTAGCATTTAGATAGGCAATAGTAGAAACCTGTTGTCTGTTAGTATCTAGTATAGGATTATTGGAAGTTTAAAATTGTGCTTAGTACCACCTGTTTACATTGATCTTTTAAAATTTATTTATTTGGGGTCAAGTTTATAGGAAGTACACTGATCTTAAGTATTTCTGAGATTTGTTTATAGGTGTGTTAGAAGTACACAGAATTAGAAGAAATACCGATTTCTTATTTCACTGGTGACATAAATCATTCATAATAGCATGAATATCTTAACTCAGCTTACACACTTAAAAAACTTTCTTTGTGATTTTAAGATCCATTCAGGTTACTATCTATATGTTAATTATAGTTAGTAGCTTCTAAATGTTGCCGAGTTCTCTGTGGTGTTTTATTTGCTTTTCCTATGATGGACTTCTTTATCAACATGAATTGTGATGGACATCTTTGTGCATGTCCTGCAAAGGAACTGTGTAAGAATTTCTTTGAGATGTGTACTCAGCAGTGGGATTGCCACTTTATACATAGAGTATGTAAGGCTTTAAGTATTATACTTCTAGCATGATTTCCAGAAATACTGTATACCCAGTGCAAGTAGATGGATTTATCTTTATGTCTGCCAACAATTAGTACCATCCAGCTTTGTGGTCTTTTTGTTTTTATTTTTAAATCAGCCTAAGAGGTGCAGACTCATTTTGTCTTATTTGTATTTTATGATTCCTAATGAGCAGCTTTTCTTCATAATGCTTGTGAGCCTTTTCGGTTGCTCATTGGTACCCTTTTCCCATTTTCCTGTTGGGATTGCTATTTTTTTAATGCTTTGCAAAAGTTTTTGTATTCTAAATGTTATTGCCTTATCTGTTTTTAGGCATTCTAAATAATGTGTCATTTCTACTAATTTTATCCATGGAGTCCTCTGGTAAACAAGTTTTATTTTAGTAAAATACTTTGCCCTAAGGCTTGTGCTTTTGAAACTGTTTAAGAAGTCCCTCCTGGTCCTGCTACGTTTCCTATTGAATAGTTTTACCTTTTATATTTAGGTCTTAAATCCCTCTAGAGTCTACTTTTATATTTGTTATATATAAGCTTCCAGTTCCCTTTTCTTCTGCTTCACTTTTTTAATGAGCTAGGTTGGCTTAATTTTGGTGGGGGGGTCCTCCTCCAGTGACATGAGCTAGTTTTTATAACACTATTCACTAAACAATCCATTCTTACCCCATTTAGGGTACCACCTACCTTCATTGCATATCAAGTTGTAAACATCTGTGTTTGTCTTTGAGCAGCACTCTTCTGTTGTGTGGTCTTTTTGTCTCTTGTCATTGTCACACTTGATTACTATAACTTTATAGCACGTCTTAATATTTAGCAGGGCAGGTTGCATCCTTTTACACTTCTCCCCCAACACAATCATTCACATTTTTGACAGTTTAAGTTTATCAGGGTTATCAACAAGCAAAAAACCTTAAAACTTTGATAGGAATTATATTGGATTTATAGATTGACAGAATTACATTTTAAAATATTGTCTCATCCACATACTTCTTCAGGTCATGTTCTGTGTCTTTAGTTTCAAAGTTATCTTCATAGAGTCTGTCGGTTAAGTTAATTTCTGTATATTTTGTGTGGCTGTTGTGAATAGCATCTTTTTTATTGTATGTTTGGCTGTTCTTGATGTACAGAGGATTGTTGCTTTTTTTTTTTTTTTTTAAGTTGCTCTTGTATCCAGTAACCTTGCTAAACTTATTGTAGTAATGCGTTCTGTTTTGGCCCCTGTCAGAAGATTTTATCTGCAAATAATGGCAGTTTTAGCTCTGTTCTTCCACATTACATTATGTCACATAATTTTCTTTACAACATTACCAGCACTTTCACTACTATATTAAGTCTTATTTCCATTCATATTGGGAATGAATATAAAATCTCCATTAAATTCAGTGCCTATTTACTGTTTTTTTAATCTGAACTTTTTTTTTTAACTATATCAATTAAGATGCTCTATTGAACTTTTCCCTTCCCTATAGTAAGTAAATAGTAAATATATGTTTTTGTTTTGGAAATACTGATTTTGGATATCAAACTAGCCTTGCATTCTTGTAGTAAATTGAACCATGATGTGTTATCGTTACATTGTTGATTAATTGAATTTTATGGTTCTTACTTGTTAGTGAAATAAGCTTGTGTTGTGTGCATGCATGTATGTACATGCATGAAGAAACTTTCAGGAAATGGTAATATTTAACTGGTTTTTGGAGTCAGAAATACAATTGCCTAATGAAATGAATGGAGCTGCTTTTATTTTTTTTCTTTATTTTCTTTCCTTTTAAACTCCAAAATTGATGAGAGAACTTGAATAAATTAGTATGTTTTGAAAAAAAATTTTCCAAAACTCCCCAGGACCTCTACTTCCCAAACTCCAAAGGCCCAAAGTAAATTTTTAGAAGAATTCTACCCCAAGAACAGTTAATTCTTATCTAATACAAGTTGTTTCAGGAAAGAAACAACTTTTCTTTCCTGAAACAATTAACTTTGGGCCTTTAGAGTTTGGGAAGTAGAGGTCCTGGGGAGTTATGGAGAATTTTTTTTTTTTCTTTAACATACTAATTTATTCAAGTTCTCACATCAGTTTTGGAGTTCTATATTTTAAACATGTATGCACTTATCTAGTTTTAAAATTGATTAGCACATAGTTTATAATAGTCTTAAAAATCTGGTTTTCATAATCTGTATTTTGCATCTTAATTCTGCTAGTTGTCTTGATCTTATTAATTTCTTAAAATATTAATTTGACTTTTCCTTTTCTGTGTTGTCTTTTCTTATTGCTGCTGTCTGGTTTCTGGCATTAATGTTACTTCCTTTTTAGGTTTGCTCTATGTTACTCTTTCCAGTTTTTAAAATTGAATGCTTAATTTATTTGATTTTTATTTGTTCATTTGTGTTTTTTATGGCCTTAATACTCTTATTTTTGTAAATGTTGATTGTGAAGATCTGCATGCTGAAATTAATAGCTCAAGCTTATTATATTCTTCAGCTTCTCTCTATTTGTGCTTATTCGTTGTTTGCTTGACCTGACAGTTTTTCTGTCACTTGTAGATTGAAATATTTTGAAGCCATATTAGGTGTATGATATTTGTGAGAGCATTTCTTGTTCTCTTGTTTCATTTTACTGATATATGTCTTCCTTTGTATTTTATCTTTTTTTTTTTTTTTGGCCATAATTTCTGTTTGATATTTCAATAACTACCACTAGCTTTTTTGACAAGGTCTTGCTCTATGACCCACACAGGAGTGTGGTGGCACAATCATGGCTAACTGTGATTGTCCCACCTCTCCCTCCCAAGTAGCTGGGACTCACAGGTACATACCACCATGCCTGGCTATTATTTTTGTAGAGATGGAGTCTCACTGTGTTGCCTAGACTGGTCTTAAACTCTTGGGCTCAAGTGATAATTCCCACGTTGGTCTTCCAAAGTGCTGGCAATACAGGTATGAGCCATCACCCCCAGCCTTTTTTTTTTTTTTAAACCTTTAACCTAGTATGTCTTTTTCCGTCTTTGTGTTTTCCTCTAGTATCAATGTTTGCTTTTATTTTTTTAGATACAGTGTCTTGCTTTGTCATCCAGGCTGGAGTGTAGTGGCAAAATGATGGCTTGCTGCAGCCTCAGCCTTGGGCTCAAGCAATTCTCCTGCCTCAGACTCCCAAGTAGCTGGGAGGAGTGCACACACCACTGTGCCTGGCTAATTTTTATATTTTTGTAGAGACGGGGTTTTGCCATGTTGCCCAGGCTGGTCTTGAACTCCTGCGTTAAGGTGATTCACCTGCCTGGGCCTCCCAGAGTACTGGGATTACAGGCATGAGCCACCGCACCCGGCCTCAATATTTGTTTCTTTATTATTAGTAAGTCTAACTTTGCATTTCTTAAAAGTTGTATTTTTGGATGTATTGCTGCCGTCTTGCTCTGTTTTTTTAATTTGTTTTACTTCGAGTTTTTCTTCCTTCTTTTCTGCTTCCCATTGGATAGATCAAGTCGTCTTCTGGTGGTTCCAAAGTTAATGTGTTGGTTTTTGTTAATATGGTAGTAGCTTATAACCTAATATCTAAGTTTATTTGCCCCTATTGGTTTCTTAAATTTACCAATATCTATATTTACAAATGTGCTTTCTCTGGCCCTCTATTTTTCCCTTCAAAGCAAGAAATTTACCAAGATATTTGACCACACGCATACCTTAAATAGAATCTCCTGGATTTTTTTTTAAACTTCCTCAAAAGTTGCTTTTAGTAATATATAGTGAGTATCTGTGGCAAACCTAAAGCCTGGTATACCTGATAAAATTTTCGTCTTGCTTTTATATCTGAATGATAGTTTGGCTAGGAAATAGGCTTAAAAAGTACAATTTTTTTTTTTTTCTGTACTTTAGTGTTTCTTTTAATGCCTGTTAGTCTGATTCGTTTTTCTTTGAAGGTTATTCTTTTTCACTGGACACCTTTAGGATTTTCTTTTGTCTTTGATATTCATAAATCTCATTAACCCATCTAGGAAGCAGAGTAAGGATTTTTATATTGCTTTAATTCTGAGAAATTTATCATTCCCATTTATTAAGTATTGTACGCCTTCTCTGTTTGTTAGCTGTTGATACTTTTGTCATACGTATCTCAGCTTTTCTATTTTCCATCTGTCCTTCATGCTGCCTTCTGGTAGAACTTTTCAACATCATGGACTTTATCTTCAGTTGAATCTATCCCGTTTCTCTTATTTGTTGCTTATTTTAGTTATTATATTTTTCTTACTTAACATTCCCACTCTGTTTTAGATTTCTTGGTCTTGTTGCATGTTGTTAATCTTCCTCATCTCTATATTTGCATTCTTCTTTAAATTCTCTGTCTAATAATGCTGCTTCAGATGATAATTTGACTCTTTCATAGAAATTGTACTCTTGAAATGTCTAGTTATTTTTGCCTTTGAGCTCCGGCACATTAGGCAATACCAGTGACCCTGATTGTTTTTTAGAGAGAAATGAAGGTCTGTGACACGGAGAAGGGCACGGGGTGAACCTAAGTAGTAGCACTAGTTGCCTTAGACCAAGTTTGTTGCTAATCCAGGCAATTTTTATGGTGTGCTTTGTAGGGGTGGGTACCAGTCTCCTTTGGTTGTCTAATTTATTATTCCTAGATTGGATCAAATGCATGTTTGAGGGCTTTGAACCATTACAGCTTTCATCAGCTCTTCATGTTATTTCAGGAACCCTGGCATTGGGCTCATGTGAAGGGTGAAGGTGGCAGGCAATGATTGTTGCAAGGCAGATGCAGAACTTAAGAAACTTTCTTGCAGAAATGCTATCTTCCAGCCTGTCTGCACTGCTGCCTGCTGTGGCCATTCCCTCCCTATGTTGTTAGTTACCCTGTACCAGTTAAACACAACCTCCAGTCTTACCTGAAATTGCTTATGGTGTGTATGTGCCTGAAGTAGTTGCTTCATTCTTGGTTCTGAAGTTGTTAGGGATAGCTTTTTGAGGGGGCAAAAAAAGCCAGAAGCCCATGCTAGTTCACTGCCTTGGCAGAATAGTGCTTTTTGCTTATAATTAACAGAAATAGAAAGTTGATATCTTTAAGTGTTTGTTTTTTATTTCTGATAGCCTTAAATAAAGTAGTGGCTAAGTTAATGAATTATTTGATTTCCAGAAGTTTGTGGCAAGAAATTTTAATCTGGATTTTGTATCTGTTGCATAGTTTACCTGAAGTTACATTTTAAGTGTGAACATTTATTGTTAGAGAGATTGAATCATTCTTTAGGAGATTCATAACCTAGTGTGTATAATTTTAAAAAATCAGTCCCCCTATTCACAGTAGCAGACATGAAATCAACCTAAATGCCCATCAGTGACAGATGTAATACAGAAAATGTGATACATATACACCAGGTAATACTCTGCAGCCATAAAAAGAAGGAGATCATGTGGGAACATTGATGAAGCTAGAGGCTATTATCCTTAGCAAACTAACCATGAACAGAGAACCAAATACCGCCCATTCTTATTTATAAGTAGGAGCTAAATGATGAGAACTCGCGAACACAAAGAAGGAAGCAACAGACACTGTAGGTACTTGAAGGCAGAGTGTGGGAGGAAGGAGACGAGTAAAAAGATAAGTATTGGGTACTGGGCTTAATGCCTGGGTGATAAAATAACCTGCACAGCAAACCTTCACATATAACCCTAAACCTAAAATAAAAGTTAAAAAAAACCCAAAAAAAACAGTGTCTCACAGTGCATTGTATGGTGTATTAATTTTATCTCATCAAAGCTGTTATTTATTTTTGAGACGGTCTCATTCTGTCAGCCAGGCTGGAGTGCAGTGGTGATGCAATCTCACTCAATACAGCTTCAACATCCCAGGCTCAGGTGATCCTATCATCTTAGCCTTCCAGGTAGCTGGGACCACAGGCATGCACCATCACACCCAGCTAATTTTTGTATTTTTTGTAGAGACAGGGTTTTGCCCAGGCTCATTTTGAACTTTTGGGCTCAAGCAGTCCACCCTCCTTGACTTCCCAAGGTGCTGGGACTACAGGTGTGAGCCATAGCACATAGCCTAAAGCTGTTATTTTAAAAATACTTGTCTCCTCTTTATGGTAGGTTGCACTCTTATTTAATAATGTAATTACTAATTCCTGATTAAATATGGAGACTAAAATAAAATAATGGTGTGTGGGATCTTGTCCTTTTTCCTAATACACATATACTCCCTTCCTTTTCCTAATAACTTGTATAGGTGAGATATATGTAAAAGAAAAATCCAAGTAATCATTGTTCTCAGAACCAAGATGGTTAGGCCATGACCTCAGCAATGACAAGTCCAACATTTGGTTAAAGATTTAGGGTTGGCAGTATGATTTGCATCATCTTTATCAATTTACCTAGTTCATTGCTACTTTTGAAATATTTTATTGCCAGTGGTTCACTATATTCATATCTCTTTGGTTTTTATTTGCTTTGAATCTGTCTTTTGCCTCAGATAAAAAAACCTGTCATTCACTAACTCTGATGCTTCAGTTTCAGTATGACAAAAGAATTGTGACTTCCATTTCACTATGATGCTGTGTAACTGGTTTCTAACCTTTCAGCCTGCCTAGGGTAGTTAAAAGACGAGTGAATGCTCTCAAAAACCTGCAAGTTAAATGTGCACAGATAGAAGCCAAATTCTATGAGGAAGTTCACGATCTTGAAAGGAAGTATGCTGTTCTCTATCAGCCTCTATTTGATAAGGTAATGCTTTCTCCTAATTAGTTTAATTTATCATTCTAGAAGACAAATTCTGGAAATATAAACAGACTTGGAAGAACTTGGTCTTTAGAACTCTCATTGAAATTGTTATTAGTGGCACTTGGAGGATCTATCAATAATAGCAGTCAAGGTTATGGTATGCATTTGTTAAATTTATAAGACTACTTAGTGAGAAACCACTGGTTTTAGCTTGGATGCCAATATTTTTATACAGCCTTTTTTTAAATCATTTTAGCGATTTGAGATTATTAATGCAATTTATGAACCTACGGAAGAAGAATGTGAATGGAAACCAGATGAAGAAGATGAGATTTCGGTTAGTATCATCTTTTATTTTAGTGTGTTTTTTAGATGATGAAATCTTAGGACTTGTCAGAAATTTTAGCATTTAATGATGGAATACAATATTACATAATCAGTTATATTTTTATACCTAGGAAATATTTTTTCTTTTTTTAAGAATGATAGTGCAGATGAGCTATTATTCAACGTGGCACCACCATCTGCATTTTATAGTTTTTTGGTTTAAGAGATAGGGTTTTGCCCAGGCTGGAGTGCACTGGCATGATCATAGCTCACTGCAGCCTTGAACTTCTGGGCTTAAGCTATCCTCCCATCTCAGCCTCCTGAGTAGCTAGGACTATCTGATGCTACCATGCCCAGCTTAATCTCAACATTTTTTTGTAGAGGCAGAGTCTTCTTGCCCAGGCTGGTCTTGGACTCCTGGCTTCAAGCAGTCTTCCTACCTCAGACTCCTAAAGTGTTGGAATTATGGACTTGAACCATTGAGCCACTGTACTCAGCCTATTTTTATAGTTTTTTGAGTCTCACTCTGTTGTCCAGGCTGGAGTGCAGTGACATGATCTCGGCTCACTGCAATCTCCACCTCCTGGGTTCAAGCAATTCTCCTGCTTCAGCCTCCCTGCAACTGGGATGACAGGCGTGCACCACCATGACTGGTTAATTTTTTGTTATTTTTAGTAGAGATGAGGTTTCATCATGTTGGTCAGGCTGGTCTCGAAATCCTGACCTTAAGTGATCTGCCTTCGTTAGCTTTCCAAATGCTGGGATTACATGCGTGAGCCACCACACCCGGCCTATAGTTTTTAGTTTGTAGGTTCATTATATGCGTTTCTTTTTTAACTTCATGATAGGCTGAGGATTGTTGCCATTTTCAAGTGAAGAAATGGAGGCTTTTAAGTGTCTTTCCCACAATGAATAATGGCAGAGCTGTGACTCACATTCAGTGCTGTTAAGTGTTCCACCTCTCTAGCATTGCTATTTTATGTTGTTTGGTAAAGAGAACATTATATTTTGATTAAGAACACCATGGCATGAGGCATTGGACCAAGTTAATATTGCTTTTCTTGTTTACTATGCTTAAGACTTCATTTTTAGTGAGTTAAATTTTTTTTTTTTCACTAAAAGGGTTTTTCCTACAGATCTTGGTCATCTTAGTGGTTCTCTTCAGAGGGGTGTGGTAGCAGTCATTTTCATGGGATTAAGGTTTGTTATGGGTAATAGCAGTATTTATACACGTTTACACAGGTAGACTAGAACTTTGAAGGTAATAATCTGGTGACTGTATGCTTTTTGGTTTTTATACCTTTGCTACTTTATCAAGAGTTCTGATCTATGTATTAAATAATGTATGCTGTCACTTATCAAGGAGGAATTGAAAGAAAAGGCCAAGATTGAAGATGAGAAAAAGGATGAAGAAAAAGAAGACCCCAAAGGAATTCCTGAATTTTGGTTAACTGTTTTTAAGAATGTTGACTTGCTCAGTGATATGGTTCAGGTAATTTTATTCATAAATGTACCAGTTTACTTTGAAGGGTAAACCTTTGAAGTTTAAATGGCATGATGACTGTTCTCCTCAGTGTTGATCTTTCTAGAATGGTTGCTTACTTTTGAAACAGCTAATATCTGTTGAAGGGAAATTACAGCTTTGATTAATGTAATCAAATAAATTACAGTTTATTTTCAAAAATGAGATAATGAAATGGTGCCATTGATAATTGCTCATTATCAACTGCTGTTTTCTCATAACCCTGTGGCTTCGGTCTTTACCAGTTTAGTATGGAAGTATGATAGGAAAGTTAATCTTACAGCTGCAATTAATGCAACTACCCATCCCCCCACCCCAAACAACCTTTTTCAATCTGAAACAATTCTTCCAGGAGAAATTTGCATTTTCTAAGAATACTATAAAGATGTTAAACTCATTCACAATGGTTACATTCTCTGGCAAACCATAACGGTTGTCACCTTCTTTGGGAACTTCTTTAAGCATTTCTTGAGTGAGTCACTGCATGTGCGTTGTAGTAGTACATGTTGCCCTGTCTTGTCCTTGTTGGAAGTTACATGGAGAAAAAGAAATGATCTCCACATAATTACTGCTTAGTACAGTTCTACTTTAGCAAAGTAGAAGAGGATCAAGCAGGAGGAAGGGGACAAGCAGCTGGAAAATGCAGCAGTTATAATCAGGAAACATTTTTAAAGCAAATGTGCCTTATTTAGACTTGATTTTGAATTTTTTGTCCTATATAATGATTTAGTTGTCTATTTGGATACTTTTTCTCTACCAGTGGCAGTAGAACTGCAGTATAAACTAGCTTTAGTATAAGCCATAACCTGGAGAGTAAGTCTTAAGGTTCATAATTGCTATACAAAATTACTTTAAAATACATCTCCGTCAGCTGGTATCTGTGTAGTAACAGAACACAGCTCTCAAATGCCATGTTAGATACTCATTTTTTAAAATTTTTTTAATTTGAAGGAACATGATGAACCTATTCTGAAGCACTTGAAAGATATTAAAGTGAAGTTCTCAGATGCTGGCCAGCCCATGGTAAAAGAACTTTGAAATATTTATAATTTTGTAACATGCTTACAGGTAGATAAATAGAAACTTTTTAAAAGATAACATTCAAGCAGAAGGTTGGTGCTCTTTGTTGTAGTGAATAAATATTTGGATGTTGCTAATTGTGAGGCAGTATTTATTCCTTTTCCTCCCTCTGAACATAAACTGTTTGAAACACAGACAATCCTTGTTCCTGGCTAAGTGGATAAAAATAATGCCAAGGGAACATGAATAAGTACTTCTTCTGTATTAAAAGGCATGAGCTTAGGAATTACATAAAACTGATGATGTTAGAGGATGCCCGCTCCCTATAATAAGGAAAAATCAGCCAACGGCCTGTCCACCAAACTACCAGTATTAATGTAAACTATGGGCAAAACTAGTATGAATATAGGCTATAGATGCTTATGGTTGGGCATTTTCTGTGTCAAGTTCACGTTTAGTCTCTCTTTGAAAGCCTAATTCCTGGGGTAGGTGGGAGGAGTAAGGGAGACAGTATTTAGGTGTGCCTAGCCTATTGCGTGAACATGTTAATTATTTAGTAGTTGTAAATTGAAACTAAGCTTTATTCAGTTTAATTTGTACCTCATTTTGATTTAAAAATAATCCAGGGCTTATCTGACAGTCTGTCCCATAAAATATTTCACTGCCGGGCTCGGTGGCTCACGCCTGTAATCCCAGGACTTTGGGAGGCTGAGGTGGGCATATCACTTGAGGTGAGGAGTTCAAGACGACCCTGTCCAATATAGTAAAACCCTATCTCTACTAAAAATACAAAAATAAGCTGAGAGTGATGGCACACATCTGTAATCCTAGGTAATTGGGAGGCTGAGGCACGAGAATCACTTGAATCTGAGAGGCAATGGTTGCAGTGAGCTGAAATTGTGCCACTGCACACCAGCCTGGAAATGTAAAACTGTCTTAAAACAATGCAAAACTCTGTCTCAAACAAAACAAAACAAAACAAAACAAAACAAAA